ACGGGGTATTTGGCAGATTTATTGATGAAAGGGTAGAGGCTTGTAAAGTCGTAATATTTGATCTTTTCACCTGGTTTTGCCTGGTAGAAAAGTGAACATCCACCCGTCCTCCCACCATAAAAAGAATCCCTGGGATTGAGTGGCTCCCGAAAGACGTCTTGGAGGTGTGCAATGTGGGGGTTGACATCCGGGTATTTCCGTATTTCTTTCCATTCACACTCCCACGTGTAGCACACGGTGTAACCGGCATCTCTCAAGAGCTTGATTCTATGCATCGTCTCTTTGTATAATTGTCCCGCTGTTTTGCCTAGCTTTTTGTTTTTGAACCCCGGTTTGGGAAAGCAAGTGGTACACCCATGGTAGAAACAGCCTAGAAATTCCCAGATGTATTTCTTTCCATCCTCCCCCTCCCCATACCCGTCTACATAACGACCATGCACTTTCCTTTCCCCCCCGTTGAAGTGGTGTTTGATGTCAATACCACTTAGCATTGCCTCGTGGTGTAACCACTCTCCCGCTATAAGAGATTGGTTCTTTGCGTGGGCGTAACCGTCCTGGGGGATAAGCGCTATTGTTTTGGGTTTTAGATTATTAGTACGAAACAAAAGGTTGCAAGCACTGGGGAGGGTTAAACAACGTAAGAAAGGGTCGATTCCACCTTCGTTTGTCTCTGTCATACTGATGTATTTGAAATTGGCGCGGAAAACCTTACAACTTTGATGTAAGATGTGAACGTCACTTTGACAATAGTCAAGCATTTCTTTCTTGAAATCGAAAACATAGTTTTCTTTGAACAGCGCGTCGTACCATGCATGAAATTCCATCAGGGCACTTTTCCCCATACTTCCAACACCGTAGAACTTTTTGTCTGGCAAAGGTCCTACGTAATTTGCATTTGCAGCGGTGTTGAAAAGATGGGGAAAGTGCCCTTTCTTCATTTCATCCAGGCCGAAGGTTTTGGGCAATTTTGAGAGGGCCATCTGAAAGAAGTTCAAGGAGTCTTTGACTTCGATTTTAGGGTCTTTTGTTTGGAGGCTTATGATTTTCGCACCATTCAGTATGACATGCGGTTGGACTCCTTGTTCTACCAGATGATTCAGTAGAAAGTAGGAATCATACGCCTTGGCATTGTGCGCTATGGCTACCGATTGATGGTTTTCAACAGAAAACAGCCATTTTGAAAAGTCAACGAGGGTGGAATCGCCCGAGAATGCGACGGACCTTCCCTCCGGAGGGCCACACCGTTCGCAATGTTGGTTTTCGTCTTGCTTACCGTCCATGCAATGTACACACTCCCAAGTGGCATGAACATAATTTGGAACATGTAAACCCGTTTCCTGCGTGCATTCGAAATCGAAAAAAATATACTTTGTAGGGAAATCTTCCTTGCTTTTTCCTGTTTTTCTCTTTTTGGCGCGACGCGTGGAAGGCTTTGCATTTTCATGTTGGAAAAAAGGACTCTGCGGGGGTACCTTCATATAACATTTATGATAGCGGCCATCTACGGTCATTTTACATGTATTGCATTTCATATTTGAACATTTATGAGCCGACCTTTCTATGCCTATCAAGTCGGTGTCGAAAATTTTCTCACAACTTTGACATTTGAAGGTCCTCTGGCAAGAGGTTTTACCATCAAAAATGTGAACGCTATGCATTTTAAAGCAACCTTCCGTAAGAAAGGTCACGTTGCATTTGTCACATACAAGGCTTGTGTTCACGGTCTCACGGAACGTATCGCGATCACAATTCGTCGATTGACAATCTAAACACATTCGACAACAGCTGTGATATCTCGGATCGCGATACGTCTCGTGACACTCGGTACACACAAACCTGGCACATAGAAATGCTTCGTGGTTCACTATCACATCGTAGTGATTGCCCGTCAAATATAAAAAGAGGGGTTCACCCGTCGGAGGACCCGCATAAATGAGAGCCTCTTTACGGCGACCCCTGTAAACCATCAATCTATAAGCTGGTGAAAGAACAGCTTGAAAGGCATTGTATTGACTACTGTCGACCTCGCCTTCTGGTACACCCGCCAATCTGTGCAATGCACGCGCCTCGGATAAAAAGGCAGCCGGTGAAGCGCGATCGTTCCTAGACCAATTTCGGTACTTTTGATGTTTCAGTTTTTGATATTTCGCAATGAGGATGGCTTTCGCAAAACACATACCATCATCACCCGCGGGAACTGTGACGATGGATTTTTTTTTCAGAGCAGCAAGAGTTGCGGATATGCCATCATACTTGCGCGCACGACCCCCCGCAGGGTTCACAACATGATGGAATCGAATCGTGAATCCGGGATTGATAAAAAAATCCTGATTGCTATTGAGTACCTCTTCGATTCGATCCAAAATTGCGTCTATATCGAAATCCCTCACGGTGGCCCAGGGAAAAGCGATGGGGACGTTTAATTGATCAGACACCAGAACGAGTCTGACATAGTCTCGCTCCGATGTATTTGCCAAAATCAAAGTCCTAAGTTCCTCGAGAGACGAGCGAATGTATTCAAGCATGTCTTCGATCGTGGCAAAGGGTTTTGAATCACTTTTAAAGTCATACCATACCTCCCTAACCCCAAAACGTTTTGACATCCTCTGGTCAACAAACACCCATTTTGGAGAGGATGGTAAAAGATCGGGAATATCTGAGAAAACTTCCTCTTCTTCTTCTTCTTCTTCTTTTCCACCCTCCTCGGGGTATATAACGATGGAAGGGTCCGTTGTGTTTTTTGTTTTTCTTTTTTTCTTCCCACCGGTTGAAGTGTCAGAGTGTATGCGTTTCCCCCCAATTTGTTTTTTTAACCCCTTTTGTACATTAGTGGGCGGAGGATTTGGGTAATCCTCTTCATCGGAAGAGAAGTTAAAATTAACGTGGGGTGGAGGGACATTTTTGGAGCTATAGCGCGCTCCTGGGCCATCGTGATTGGACGTTGCTGGGATTTCGCGAGGTGCAATTGGAGGCGTTGCAATTTCAGACGCGCCAGAGCCACGCGCTGATTGTCCAGCGTTAGCGGGTGTATCGAGGGCATGGTCACTATTATTGGAAGAACCCCCATCTCTTGGTAAAAAATCGTTAAAAGCATCACGTTCACTTACCCCGTTTGTAGTACCATGATGAGCGCTGGTGGTGGATGAAGATGCACGGCGAACCCCATCCCGTACACTTTCTGCGGCTTTTTCAACCGTGGATTGTAATTGAGAAGATGAAAGAGGAAAGAAGGAGACAACCAACTTTCTCAATTTCTCCTTAAAATTCAATGAACGTTGAGAGTTAGATTCGTGGGAAGACATACCGGTTAAAAAATGATAGAACTGATAGAACACCCTAACAATATATGACACTTGGCCGTTAATCAATACAGACACCTTAAGACCCCGCCGTGAAATGATGATCCCTGGAGAGGGGTTACGTATATATCAGGTCGTGGGAGACAAAAGAAGTCCAAACAGGTCCACACATGAACGATCTTATTGAAGACTGGTTTAAAAACGTTTTGTTTACGTCTGTAAAGTTTAATTGAACCGTCCCGTCGAGGTCTGGGTCGTTCTTTGCCTTCATTAAACCGTCTCGTCGAGGTCTACGGCGTTCTCTTTCACCGTCAAGACACATACCGTCCCGTGGGGGTCTGCGGCGTTCTCTCTCACCTCCCTGACACATTTGTTTATAAATATCGCCCTGCAAAAGGGATCTGTGTAGCGTTTCCCCGTTGCAAGCGGTCCCTCTATCAATCCTTTCTGTAATAAGACTATGTCGAAATAGGCTCAATCACGCGTGACGTCATCGATAGGGTTCCTACGTATTTGCTCAGCTTCCCACTTGAAAGACCCAATAAGGTCACCCCTGCGAGAATAAAATGTCTGCCACGTTGCCACGTCCATCATCATACCATTTGCAGACACCCTTATACTATCTCGTTCATTGTTAGGAAGTAGAAACTTTCCAAGGAACATATACACCTGTCCTTCGATTTTACACACGCATGCATGGAGGGCTGTTTTCTTGTATTTTGTCAAGAATGTCCTAACCCCCGTGGATAATTGGACGTCATAGATATTGTCGTTGTCAGGGGCATTTGCAGCACCGATTACTGCCTCGTTGATTTCATCCGTATGTACCATGAAATGTTGAAACTCGTCTTGCATTAGAACTAACGAGGAACCATCTAATACAATCTCACCCTCTACCCGGTTAAATGTTCTAAAATGGGCGAACAATGACCCACTTTTTAATATAAGAGCAAACGCTTTCATTCCTCCGTCTTCCGATAGAACGTATTCCTCTAGGCGATGGGCAGTAGCACGTCGATAAAATCTTACCCCTAATCCAAGTCCCATATCACGAGTTCTATATATTGACGGTCCACAATACGGTCGAAAGCTGTTGGCGCGGTGTACACGGCGTATGTACTCGGTCTCGATAGACATGATGCTTTGAAGAATAGTCTCGGTTTGAGGATGTAGCGTAATGTAAAAATGTCACTTAAACTATCTCATATTTATAGATGGGATAGTAGTAGCCTTTCAATAACCACCGGTGTAGACACCGACAGTTTAACATGGAGGAGTTCACCCTCTCCCCTTTGATACGCCCAGACACCCTGTGTATAGGTGCTACCCGCTTAACCCTGCAATCAAATCAACGTTGTATTGTTTTTTTGTTTTTGTTTTGTTCTCGCTGTATATTCTTTAATCAGACCGTCTAGTCTATAGCAGGATGGTACGTTGTGTTTTCGTTCTTGTTAAACATGCTTGGATTAGACCGTTTGTGGTATAACAATAAAACTTCTTTAAAAAGTCTTTCAAAGAGTAATTGCCATTTGAAACAGCGAGACGATCGCTGAAACGTTTAACAAGCTGTTCTCCTCGGTTTCTTTCAAAGAGTAATTGCCATTTGAAACAGCGAGACGATCGCTAAAATGTTTAACAAACTGTTCTCCTCGGTTTCTTTCAAAGAGTAATTGCTAATTGTAACATGTTACACAGAGATGATTACTGTCGTTTTTTAACGAGCTGTTCCCCTCGATAGATGCCTGCGTTGATTTTCTTCGCCACCGTTAGAAGAGATTTAAAGCTACTCGCTGGCAGTGTAATCCCTTTCTTTGTCGGAAAAAAAAGGCCTCCTGAACCATAAAACTCCCGAATGTCAACGTACACCTTCCCCTGAAAACTCCTCACTGTTGCATATTTTGGTCGTTTACTATCACCGCCTATATTAAACTTGCAAATATCCATGCCACTGGAAGTAGCCTCTATGGCGGGGGGTTTGCTAGCCACGGCGATCTCATACTCTGGTTTGGGTTGTCCATGCACAGCTTTCTCTTCAAAACCCTCATCCTTCTCTATTTCACGCGAGGCGGTCGCTGGTACAGGGTCTGTGTACGCATGCAAGTCCATTTTTAACTCGTTTTCACGAGAGTTGTCCCTCGTCGGTGACATCGACGTCGAGCGTGATGAATTGTAATAGCTGTACATCGTTGATGGAAGGTCGGGATGTTGATACGACAAGCGTGTTCGATTCCCACCTTTATAGCTTCGGCCTCCTTTAATGATTATGTAATTGTCTATATTTAGAACTTTTACGCTCTTGTCCCTACTTGTTTCGTAAAGAACGTTTTTCTTACGTTTACAATTTCTTTACTTTTCTTTTGTTTAAGGATTATACATGAAATTTCTTGTTTCGTACTTGGCCAACTTCATGGTCTTGTCGAGGCGTGTCGCATGGATGACGTCATTGGGTCGTTGTGCAATACCATGACGTCATTTGCACCGTGGTACCCATGACGTCATTTGTTTTTTCGTCAAGCACTACGTCATCGTTTATAATCCACCTATTGTTTTTAAGGATTATCTTTTCATAACTCTTTCATACGTGTCTAATCCCTTCGTCATTCATCCCTCGCGTTATAATCCCTTCCGATATCATCCATACATTTATAATCCATCGTTGCTATTCCATAGCGAGGTAATCCCTCCTTTGTCTTTCATTTCTTTAATCCTCTTTCCTTCATATTCTATTGTTTTTGCTTTTAATCCATTTCATAATTTATTATCCGTTAATCCATAATTCATACTTCATATTTTAATCCATATTTCATATTTTAATCCATATTTCATATTTCATATTTCATATTTCATATTTCATACTTTCATAATTATTGATCCATATTTCCATAATTCATATTCCATTGTTTGTAAACAATAGGATCATATCATAATTCATATTTCTATTGTTTGTAAACAATAGGGATTAGTATGACGCTATACGTACACCTATACTACTTTGGACTCTTTCACCAGAGCACTTCTTGGAATTTTTTTCGCGAAAACGGCTAAACAGTTGTGTAAAAAAAAATATGCGCTGCCCGGCAGCTGGGCAGAGGGTACGCAGGGTATAGCTGCCGATCATGTCATTTTTAGCGCGTGAAGCGCTACAAGTTTCCTATAGTTATACGGGCGGATACCATACCTAGCGCGCATTATGCCATATGAGTACCCGGTATAGGGCCAATGGGGTCCTGATATATGTGGTACCCCGGGGTCTAATTGAGTTTACGAGCTACGTATACCTCGTACACTGGAAGGCCCCGGATTTATTTAGAGATGGGACTTTGGGAGAGATTTAGGCATTTACAATGTAATGTAGGCTCGAGTATTTAGGAGCAAATCCGAAAAATCCGGGGGAAAATGAGGGAGAAAAGAGGGGAAAGGAATAAATGAAAAAAGGGACGCGTGTCTTAGGATTTTTTTTATGAAAAGGGGACCCATGAGTGTCTAAGGATCTTTCCTGAAAAAGTCACCCTTCCGAGCGGCACATCCCCGTATACCCAATATACGTGAGTACCCCCCGGGTAAAGAAGGAGAAAGGAAATCCATCAGATTAAAACAAAGAAATAGATGACGAACGAGAAAAGGATAGATTGAAGGAGAAACAAAAGAAATACATAACAAAAAAGAGAAGAGGTTAGGGTTAGAATAAAGGAGAACAAAAGAATAACATAACGAAGGAGAACTGCAGGGGGATAGATTGTGAAAAAACAAAGAAATATGTAACGAAGGAGAAAAAGGATAGATTGAAGAAAAAAGAAAGAAATACATGACAAAAGAGAAGAGGATAGATTGAAGGAGAACACAGAAATAAATAATGAAAGAGAAGAGAGGATAGATTTAACCAGAAACAAATAACGAGTATGTCATATGTGCAGCTCCAGCAATCCAACACTGCTAAGGGTAATGCTAGACTCTGTCTATGGTCGTTTGCACAGTATATTTGACTGAAGTGGCTTTTGTGTAAAAAGAAAAATATGCGCGAGCGGGCCCCTGAATACATTTCCGCTTTCTCTCTCATTAGGAAAGATGGTTAAATCTATCTCGCTGATGCCACATAATAAACAAACATCAAAAGGTCGCACACCATACTCAATGCTACACAAGACTGCTTCTGACCACTGTGCCCCTGACGGATAAATACCATTTTACGTAGTTTGCATGCAAGAGGGCGCACCTGCTTGTTGTGGGCAGGGGGTCTCAACTCCGCTTCTGCATCCGTCTAGCCATGGGTAGATTTTGGAGATCCTTTAGCCAACTTAACAAGTGATATTTTCATATTTTTAGTGTACAAATAATGAGTCATTCTCACCTCGACTTCAATGATCTTCATATTGTGCCCCATCCCCAATGAAATTTCAATTTTGTCTCGTTCTTTTCATTCTTGCATTCGTCGCCACTGATTTTTTTTGTAATTTGCCACCCCCCCCCAACAGTAACATTTCCTCAGTCATACAGCATTATCATTACAGAGTGCCTAAATCATCATAATCACCAGCATCATCACATAAATTTCACAAAATAAGAAAATGAAAAGAACAGAATTAAGCAGTATTAACTAATTTATTAACTTTTATGAACTCATTTATCAACATATTTTGTTTCTATAAAGATCTTTTAAAATCCGACATGACATCAACACAAGGATGACATATGGATGGGGGGGGGGGGGGGGTGCTGTCTCTTGAATTCAATTTTTTTAGTTGTAAAAGTTTACTGTAGATTTTGAGAAAAAAATATTCAATAATATCAACATGCTATTTTATTATGTAAAGCACAGGTATATACTGAGTTTTATGAGTAGTTTATCTTACGTTGGACATTATTGTTGTTGTTTTTACTACTACCTGTATTATCATTATTATAACTGCTATTATCATGATCATTGTCATTATTATTACTATTTTTAATATTGTTATTATTATTAATGTTATTAATTATATTACTACAGTATTAATATTGAACTACATCATTTTATCCCCCCCCCCCCTCTTCAATTTACTATCCAGTTCAGCATCCCTAATATTTTTGTCAGAACTTGACTTAAGATTAAATATCAAAAAACTATGTTACATGTACACGCATTTAAAAGAACCAATGATTATTTTCATGATCCTCGATATATCTTCTTCTTCTTCTTCTTCTGGTAATCTTCAAAAGGCGTTGTAGCCTATCACGAAGATGAACTAATACTTTAGTATCTAATGGTGTGAGGAAGACAGATTGTTTTTAAGTGGGATAAGGAGAGTAGATGCCTCAGGAGTAGTCCCTGGCAGTTCTCTGGACTGTCAGCATGCACTATATTTGCTGGAAGTCAGTTCCATTAACTTTGGGACAGAGTGTTGGGCAAATACAAACTTGTCTATGTCGCTTCTGGCTTGCTGCAACTGGAGGGTCATGTCATGGTACTTCCTGCTCGTGATTTGTTAAAGCCCGTCTGTACTAGTTTGGCCAGGGGGATTGGCAAAGTCACTGACAGGTGGTTATCTCATCAAATCAGCTCTCAATTAATATAAGAAAAAGAGGATCATGGGGAACCAACAGGCACCGATTAGGCATTGTTTGCTATATAGAGGGCGCAAGTAGCTATTAGTAGTGCAGTGGGAAAATTTCAAGGGAGAGCGGAGAGACCATTGACTATTTTGTGCACCATTCCCAGCTTTCTTGCAGAGTGCCTTGTAGCTGTAGATATAGTAGGCAACTAAATGTGCTGATCATCTCAGTCAAACTGCTGGTTCTCTTGTGGTCCCCATTGTGAAGTAGCGTCCTGGACATCTGAGATGTTGTAGGGATCCCAGACACCGGAACAGTTCTCAAGATGAGGGTGGACTAGGGACTTGTACAAAAGAAGCCTGGGTGTCAAACCTTCTGCATGGGACAACCTGCATAATAAAAACAAAAAGAAAGGAGAAATCAAATAAGATTAAAACTGCTGCATTATATTTGATTTTCAAAAATAGGACCTCCCTACTTTTTTTAGGTCTTGCATTTTAATTTTATTAAAAAATGATAAACTTATGTCTTTCTGATAGGGCCTTTTTTGAAGAGAAGAGTAAAAGTTTATATGTATTTCCAATTATTTTAAAAGTAACTTCCAATTTATAAAGTTATTATTTGCTAGACTTTTGTGAACAAAAGTTTGTTAGATATAATGTAATATTTAGGGAAAAATGCCTTTGAGTATGTCTTTTAATATGCTGAGAGAATAAACTGTAGCAACACCATAGTTTGTCACCTAAAAAGAGGTAGATAATAAATGAGAATTACAACACCAGATGACAGTTCCCTAAATGTTTGTATATAGTCCAAGACGAGTGCGGTGTTCGCAGGGGCGTACGCAGGATTTTTTCAAGGGGGGGTTTTAAAATCTGGCCCAAAATATTTTGCTCCCGAAAATTTGATAAATCGCGCCGGCCGAAAAGTCGCTCATTGGGGGGGGGGGGGGGGGGGGGGGGGGGGGGGGGGGGGGGGGGGGGGGGGGGGGGGGGGGGGGGGGGGTAAGAGGACACTTTTTTTTTTTTGGTATCGAAATTTGAAAAATTGACATTTTGCTCCGTTGGGGGGGGGGGGGTAAGGTCATCTTTTTGAGGTCGGTCATGGGATTTTTTTTTTTTTTTTTTTTTTTTTTAAAAAAACAACAAAACAAAACAACAAAAACAAAAGGGGGGGTTTTAGGGAAATTTAGGGGGGGGGGGTTACATACAAAAAAAAATTACCAAAGGGGGGGGGGGGGTTTAACCCCCCCCCCCCCCCCCCCCCTGTGTACGCGCCTGGGTGTTCGCATGGGCTTAGATTATACAGCCTGAATATTTTCCTATTCCTGATTAGATCTACACCATAACATTTGATGATCAGGTCCTGGTGCTCTTTGTTGCACTTCTGTGATCATTATCTGCTTCTGTATTCCATAGGATCTACAATTAAAAGAAAACAGAAGCTTAGTAAGGTTCCTGCTAATATCAAATGCATGCATTAGTTATCAGTTTATAACTTTGTTCGCATGTCCTTTAGAGAAAGAAATATCCATGTCATATGTAGGTTGGATCCAGAATTCTCAAAAAAAGTTAGGCCCCCTACCGTAAGAAATCCTAGCTGCATCCGCACCTGCTAGACACATCTTATCATTGTTTCATAGTTTATTTCAATTCCATCAATATTTATGTAAAAACTTTGTTAACATTCTTTGCAGTTCAAGTTAAATTGCATTTGTAAATTACAACATACCACGCTATCGAGATAGGAGCAATTAAGGGGCAAATAAATAGGGACAACATGCACAAACCGGCTGAAGTGGTTACGCAGTTGTGTCATCATTTTTCATATTCTATGCAAGTAAAGAATCACAGTGGAGCGATGTGAAATACCTTGACCTTTTATTAACACTTCTTTCTCCTCAATATTTCTTCTCTTTCTTCTTCTTCTTCCTTTCTCCTTAATTTGCCTTGTTTCGTCTTCTTCTTTGTCTTTTCTTCTTTGTCTTCTTTATCCTCCTCCTCTTCTTCTCGATCCCTCTCTCTCTCTCAATTCTTCCTCTACTTTCCCTCCTCGCCTATACCCCTCCATCATCCCCCTCCATTACTTCATCTGCTTGTTCTTTCTCCATCCCGTTTCTTTCTCTCCCTCCTACTTCCTCCTTTTCTCCTACTTCCTCCTTTTCTTCCACTCATCTATTCCTAATATAATGACTTGGTTATACACTTGTTTACAATTTAACCTATAATGTACCCTTAAAGTTGATACTCTAAGCAAATAAATGTCCCTTAATTTGTTACCTACGGCAAGTATATGTTAGTTTTAAGTTTTTCAATTACTTAGTATATCACAAAAAAATTCTGTCTACTCGAAATCCTCAATTGAAATGTCGAAAATATCCGCCTCTCTTTGCATAGAAAATCAGTCACGGCGCTGGTCTACTATTTATGACCTCACGTCCGGGAAAGAGTATATTCACGTACCCGGATGTTCCATAGCAAACATGTGCAGAGTGATACGATTTTCTGCATATTTTTGTTTCAAAGGCTGAAAAGTCTAATAAATCATAATTCTATGTACAATTCTTTACCTTCCCCTAGTACTTCATAGTATTAATATCAATTCCCCTTTTAAAAATTATGACATATTCATGCCAACGATGTGCTATTAGTCGATATTTTCACCATGTAATTTTTGTTTTGGTGTTGAAATCGGCCCAGGCACGGAGTGGACAGTAGCTGCATGTCTACCCATGCACAGTTCATTTCCATACACAGCGATCTCCCGATGGTTTTTTTTTTTCCTTTTCCCCATGTTTTTCGCCTTCCTTGGCCCTGAAGATCCTTCATCTACCAATTCTGACACCGGTAGTCAGGAGCAAGTCTTTGTTTTTCTTAGCTGGCAACGTCGCTTTCATTCTCTTGCAATTGCCGATAAACATAACTAGCGCACGTACGTTCCATCACAAGCAAGCAGCGCCTAGAGCAGCGGCTTGGTCTTACCTCCCGATTCTGCTCGCTTCACGAACGTTCATGCAAGAGCCGCATCACTCGCCAAAATATTATAGAGGAAGCGCGCTTGCATGATCTCGTTCAAGTTTTATATTTTACAACATAAAATGTTTAACAGGTACTGTATCCTTTTTTGAGGCAGTCACACACATCTATGATACTATCATACTATGGTACTATTATAGTTCTAGACCTATTCGTTTTACAAAACTGCTCCTGTACTTATCTGATGACAATATAATGCATCCGCCTATTCATACGTGCACGATTTAACTTTAATTCCTAAGCAGTAAACTCGTCTTAAATCTCTACCAAATAGGTGAATATGAGGATATAAAAAGAAATCAGCGACTGGAAAATGTTGCTTCGTTACCCGGCCCCCCCACTCAGGTTTGGAAATGACCGCATGCGTGTTGCCAAAATGTCCGGTAAAGGGGTACTTTTCGTGCGACAAAGTCCGGCCCGAGAATGTAAAAAAAGGGGGTGTATTTGACTTTCACCCGGAGATTTCTTTAAAAAAGGGGTGTTTTTCTCTCATCTCTTTGTAATTAAAAAAGGGGGTTATAAAAAATCTTGAAGTTGAACATAGAAAAATTGATGAAATCCCGCGATCAGATTTCAGAAATTCCTGCTAGTTTTGAAAGCTCATTCAGGATTATTTCATTATGAAAAGTAAAAACATTGAGTCCCATGCACTCCCGTCCCAGTACAGGGGCAGTACGGACTTCTCAAAATCTGTGAGAGAGAGAGAGAGAGAGAGATAACAACAGAACGTATAGTCTTTACGGCGCGCTCATCATGCATATCGGGCTAGGCTCGGCATCAAGCCGGGGCATCAAGATGGGCTATGAGGCGTGGGCCCTGCCAAAATTGTCATGATTGGGACGTCTTTGAGCAGGACCCACAGTCTCCTCGTTGTGGATGTTGTGGATATTGTGGCTGTCTACCTGTGGCTCACAGGGTGGCACATTCAGGTGAGTAGTTTGCCCTATTGTTTGATCGCAATAATAACACTTTCAAACTCATTTTCCTACACCCATGAAAATGAATATGTGGGACTTGAATCTAGACCTAGTATGTAGTTTTGTACTGTAGTGTAGGCTACCCTAATTCACACACAGCTGCATTAGTATTCCTGGCTGTGTATTAAAGGGATCGTTTAACAATGTTAAATCTGAGATGCAAGGCCCTTCATGTTATCAGTGTCTGTGATATGGTGTAATATTGAAGCCCTAAACAAAATTGTGCTTCAAAATGATCAAGAAGAAGAACTTGAACTTGAAGAAGTGCCAACCAGTAATGACAGCTTATCTGAGATGAGAGGGGGGGGGGGGGGGGGGTGTCTGCATGTCCTGATATAGGGGGGTACATTGAGCAGCGTTCCGGATTTAGGGGGGTCTTCAAGGCAGGAAAAGCCCGTGAAAAGCCCGCGAAAGGGGGGTTCGGAAATGTTGGCAGTGCTCAGATAGGGGGTCTTTTCAAAAAGAGGGTACAAGCATACGCGTACCCTAAATAACACTGAGTGGGGGGGGGGGCCGGGCTTCGTTATTCTTCATTCAAATGAAAACAGAAAATCCATCAAATATACTCCTTAACAACAACAAATCTTTAAAGCTCTGACAGGATAGCATTTACGTAGGGATATCATTGCCATTCACTCTCACTGAGCCCATGAGTCCCGTTCGTGACGTCACGGATAGAGGCCCGACTCTACGTGCACTTCCGGGTTTCAGACTTAGATATTTTGGTAGAGTTTACTCGAATAAATTCATTATTCTAAACTTGTTTTGTCGGGTGGACACCATTTGGTTTTATTATGGGGGTTAAAAGCTTTCTATTTATGTAATTATCTCAGTATTTGGGATTGTCTTAGAGTATCAACTTTAACTTTCTCATCTCTTTCCTATTTTCGTACATCGTTTCTTAGTCCCAACCTTTACCCACATGCTCAGAAAATCATAATTTTCTTATTTCTTTTTATTTTGTTGCCAAACTATGCATGATTAATATATAATTGTAACTATACATGTTTGAAATATAATTATAACGATTGTAGTAGTACGCTCATTTGGGCTAAAGGGGGCGCTAGAGCCATATAAGAGCCGAGCTGGGTTGATTAATTGTATTCACCTAAAAGTTAAATAACATTAATTATGTTTCCAATAGTATGCCGGGAACGGGTAAACAACCCCTGGGTTTGAATTCTTGCATTAGATTAAAGTGTTCATTTCGAAAAGCACGTTGGAAATGAATTCCTGCATTAAGATGTACAGGTGTTCATTTCCAATAACAAGTTAGACAATAGACTGTTTTGCCGGGGACGCGACATTCTCGCGAAGAGATAGACTCCTCCCATTTCTGTCGGTGACTAGATCAGATAACACTCATCTATTATGCTTTGTCATTGGTTATAATTAATTAAAGGTATAACTCCTCAATTAATTGGTCGGATGACCTAAAGGGTAATTGGATATATCCCGTTTTGCAATGGTTGGCTTCGTAAGAGCCCTCCTGGTTGGCTGGCAATATCATGTAATATCTAAGCCTCATCGGGTGCCGCGGTATTTAAATGCGAGGTGCGGGATTTTGAAGTGAGTTTAGTTCATATTATTTGAGAGTTTATTTCAACTGTAATTCCGAGCTTCTTGTGTTTTCATTTATGTTTGAACTTGTCATCTTCAACTCATTTACTACCACCACCACATTTGGTAATACGGATGGGGTCAACTTTCTTTAGTTAACGGCGAAGTTTGCCGTTGGCTTGCTAGCGGTTACCGCTGGTTCGTCGTGCCGACCCACCACTCGAACTCGATATCATTTGCTCGGAACACAGAAGTATTTTAGTTGCTGCTGCTGAACTGTTTCTCACCGGTGGAGTTAGCGACAGATTATCGTGGCGTTTATTGAAGGCATGTTTTTTTGTGGCTCAGCGGAGTAGTCCAGTACGAAAAGGGCCAACGGGCAATTGGAGGCCTTCTTGGAACACATTGCACATTCTTCCGGTGAATGTGATTAGGATCACCACGGAGAGAGAAGTTTCCCGAGACCCCCCTCTTACCTGTTACCAACACGTCCGCGACGGGAGAAAATGCCGCGAAATTGAACGTTTGGTATGTGCTAACGAAAAATTGTTTAGTCGACTGCCCCTCGTGGAAATTTTTGCACACCATATCTACTTGGGCGATCTGAATCGTATTACCTTTAGGAGGTTCCCCGTACAGGAGTTACTCAAGGTCTGACTGAATTCTCCGGAGCTGGTTTGTCAGCTGGCCTGGCACCCGAAGAACGCGTATCGGGAAGCTCTCGGGGAGGAAAGTAACGCCGATGCCTCGTCACGATACTCAACCCTGCTAGTAGCGTGGACGCAATTGAAGGAGGTTCCTTATGTTTATGATTCTTCGATTGTCAGCTGAACTTGGGTTTTTTGGTCTGCAACGCCAAGTTCGTAGGGAGCAACCTTCGGCGGGAGACAAGTTGAGATAAGGAGACAAGCTGAGCTGATTAAGGAGACAATTAAGCTGAGCTGAGGTATGTTTTGAAAGTCGAGAATTGGACAGTGAGAACTGAACTAAACTGAACTGATAAATTGAATCGTCCGTTGAATTTTGGATATTTTTGGATTTTTGTCCTAGATTCTTTAAAGATATTGTAGTAATGTTTAAGTGTTCGAATATTGTGTGTTGGTGAAATTATTTGTACCCGTTTGCTCTTCAAATTTTGGCTAGCATTAATGTAAGCATAGGATAGATTATTTAAACTTAAACCTACGTTTAATCTAAATTAGTATAATATAAGCACTTAATATTGATCAGTATCATAATGAGTGAAATGGAAAAACAAAAACAAATTTTAGAGCAAATGTTGCGTCTGAATATATTCACTCCCCGATCTCCATCTAATCACCCTCAGGATAACACATCTCAAGTAATTAGGGGTCCTTGCTGGTGTTGTGGTATTTTTGGTCATTTCGTTAGATTCTGTCCATTAAGAATACAGGAAAGAGGTTACAAGTGGCAGGGAAACGGTCGTCCTCCACTACAATTGTTGCGTCAGAGTTCCTCCACTTCCCGATCTCCACCCAATTACGTTCCAAATAACACATCTCAATCTCAATCAAGCAAGGGTGCTTGCTGGCGTTGTGGGGGGTTTGGTCATTTTGTTAGATCCTGTTCAGCAAAAGTAGAGGAAAGAGGTTACCGATGGAAGGGAAAGGGTGGTTCTCCACTACCAGGGGCCAGGTAAAGGGGGAATAATTTGGAAGAAAATGAAGTAGATATTTTAAGTAAATTGATAAAGAAAAGTGAAGTCCCAAGGCTACTGTTTTGTTAGCCAATACTCCTTGTGAGTGCATTTCGAACTCCTTAGGATAGGAAGGGAGTTGTTTAGGTCATATTGGAGGAAAAGTTTGGTATTTTAATTATCTTTTGCGATTATAAGTATAATTGTTTTAAATGTTTGCTAACATTCAAATTCATATAGAGGCTGGGAGTAGATGTATATTAAAGATGTTTTGTTTATCAATTTGCTAAGTTAGCTGCACCGTTGATTCAGTTCAACTAATTGTCCATTTAGTAAAAGGACAAAAAAAAAAAGGAAAACTATTTAAGCTTGAGCGGATTATTCTAACGAATGATTCATTTAATTTGCTCAAAGAATTTGATTCAGGCACCAGTTAGTTATCCGGGTTTTTCAAAGGGTTTGTTTTTAGGAGTTGATACAATTCCCTAAAAGGTTTAGGGCCTTGCCTATCACAAGTAGGGGAGGATGGAAAGCGTCATCATTTAGCATATGCTAATAGACAACTGAAAACTATAGGCAAAACAAATAACCAGATTTAGGTTCATGTTAATGAGAGTTAAATAATTATTAAAATAGACAGTAGTGGATAATTTAGAGACCATTTATTGGGGCGGTAAGAGGACACTTTTTTTTTTTTTTGGTCTCGAAATTTTGAAAATTTGATATTTTGCTCCGTTGGGGGGGGGGGGGGGGGGGGGGTAAGGTCAGCTTTTTTAGGTCAACCATGGGAATATTTTTTTTTTATTTAAAAAAAAAAAAAAATCCAAAGGGGGGGGGGGGGGGTTAGAGAAATGTAGGGGGGGGGGTTTACACACAAAAAATTATCGAAGGGGGGGGGGGGGGTGTTTAACCCCCCAAACCCCTCCCCTGTGTACGCGCCTGACGTAGGTCAATACATTTAAAACATCGTTTGTTTTGTAGATACAAAGCAAAGCAGACTGGTGAATCTAAGTTAAAGTATACTAAATAAAGAAATATACTGAGTTCTGCTCTGCGCCAAGCAAAGAAAGACTATTATCATTTTCAATTCCAGTCTACTTTTATTTTTATTTATTTATTTATAATCTTTTGATAGGGTAGCCCATTCAACAACAAGTAGTGGTCTTCCATGGGGCCCTGAATAAACATGAACATATTTACACCGTTTATAACGTTTATACAGAAAAGTTAAACAAATAATACTCGTTTGCAAAATAAACATATAGCATTAACCTAGTAAACAGTAATGTCAATAGGAAAATATTGATTCAAGATGAAGTTGAGCTCATGTCATGCGATTGCATTGTGAAAGAAACGGTGTGGAATCGACCAGAAAAGGTTGATCATCTAGCATAAGAATTTGTGTGTATTGCAAGGTTCTGGAATCATCAAAAGGATAAGAAATTTCGCCAAGTCTTGGTACTGTACACAGAAAGATGTATATGGGACTACACGAACACGTGGCGTAAAAAGCCTACCTGGATTTTTACGATGTTACATGACATATTTAGAATATAAAGGCACTTGAAGAGCCATGCTTTCTAGGGAACATGTCTTATCTGATGTTCTTCCACACTAATAAGATGATAACGCTCGAAATTATTTTTTACCTCTTCCCAGAACTCAACCTTCTAATTCATGTTAATATTACAGAACATGCACGTAGTGTATGTTCGGCTGAGCCATTCACAAATTACAACTTTGTTTAAACAATCTTTTTAATGAATTGACAGAGGAAGCCGTTGTCAACGAATTATCTAGCTTATTTCATTCAGATATGGAAGAAACAATTGGGCTACACTTATAACAATCAGTGTGAAATCTAGGCACACGTAAACATCCACTGTCTATTTGCCTTGTATGATGCTCATGTACGTCATTAGGATTGATTAAGCCTACCTGAAGGTAAGAAGATGCTAAGTTATGAACGCATTTATATATCATCATAACGCGACTTAACTCAAACCGTTTGTCTAGTGTCATCCATTTAGGACTTGTGAACAAATCAGCCGACGGTGTGTCATATATCTTGTTCAATATTATTCTTGCGGCCCTCTTTTGAATTTTTTGCAGTTTAGTTGTATGAGAAGAAATCTGTTCGACCATACAACAGAGCAGTAATCTAATCGTGGCAACACTAGACTGTTATAAAGTAACTTTAAGGATTCTTGAGGCAAAAACCTCTTTGCTCTCTATATCATGCTAATGTTTTTCTGGGTAAGTTTACTTACGTTTTCGATTTGTTTAGACCATTTCAATTCTTCATCTATCAAAAGTCCTAAGCATTTGGTTAATTGAACTCTTTTGATCAAATTGCCATTTAATGAAATGATGAAAGATTCAATTTTTTTGAGATTAGCACGAGAGCCTATTAACATGACACAAGTTTTGTCAGTGTTAAAAACAAGACGATTTTCCTTTATCCATGCCATGACTCTATTTAATGCAACAGTTAATTTTTCTTTTACAACAGTTGCATCATAATTATGCACTGACGGTAACAATGTTAAAGGAACATGGAAAGTTATTTTAAAATGTCTTGAAAACCAATCCTAAACTACAGAGTATTACAATACTCGTTTGGAAGGATGGTCTTATTGAAGACAAGAAGCTGATGTGTGAAGCATTTAATGAATATTTGTCTAACAATGGTGCTACTCTGTCTAGCTCCATACCTGATATACAGGAAATCTTTGAAAATTATTTAGCCAGTCTAACTGAAAAGACTTTATTTTTGTTTCTGTAGTGAATTATGAGATAATAGATATTGTAAGTGGCTTTAATTAAAAAGGAAGAATTTAAGAGCCCTGGATATAATGGTATAACCATGGAACTATTACGGATGGACATTCGTCTTTTTCTTAACGAATTCATTATGATCTTCTCCGTCAATGTCGTCTCGATAACATTCCGTATGTTTTTTCACTTTGATTTCATGAGGTCCGCCGCCAAAAAGCCGGGACAGAATCAACATATAGTCCATGGGCCAAGACCAGAAATTTGGGTTATTGGTACCACTCAAGGTGGCAAGATCTACTTATGGATTTTGAAATGTCCTATATCTATACATAATATTTTGATATGATAGCATTTGCAGACTGGCAGCTTAGTCATATAATTAGCAGTTTCCATGGCAACACAACAATACAACCGGTATTATTCAAAGAAACAGTTAAAGTCATTTATAAATTATAAAAACCCTTTTGAATGCGTAAAAATGTACCGTTTAGAATACCTCACCATAAAGGAGAGTAATGAAATGCAATTTACATCATCATTTATAACGGTTGCCATGGTAACGACCCCAGAATAGCCTAAAATCAAGGATTTTTGAGTAACATATCAATTCCTTTCATAGCAAAAGCGCTCCTCACAATTTCTGTAAATTTGGCAGTTTAACGCTACGCGTACCGCCTTGACCGGACTGTGCGGTATCTGTGCAGTCTGTGTGTAGAGAGGTCGGGCCGTATTCATTATTTCTTGGGGGTGCATAAATTGCTCTAATTATACGTACGCGTGTAATGCGCAAGTTTATTGTGACGGCACTAAACCCATCCCACTCATTGTTCCCCTATTTTCATAATGGTACTGACCCAATGAAATGTGCAGTGCGCTCACGAGTACGCGCTGCGCTGCGTGTGTACATGTACTGTATATGCATGTTCAGTTAATTATATGTGTATGCATAGCATTACGTACATGACATGCATACACGGCTAGCTGGCACAAAACCCTGGGTCGGGCTTCTAAAAAAATGGGACATGAAGCATGATTTGACATGAAAATTGACGGGGCTAAAAATGAATCAATCAAAATGAGCTTTATATGTATGAAAAGCTTACGTATCATATGTCATTGTCTGGGATTGAGGATTTACAAATTTGACGCAAAACGCGTTGCTGCAAAGTTAAAGATTGGTATATTGAAAGGCAATCGAGCACAGTGCGACCGATCAATAGACATTATGTATGAGAAAGTAAAACAAATTAAATGGATTGTAAAGTTCAACGTCAAAATGACGGAGGTTTTTTTTCAAGTAAGGGCATGGTTTTACATGGAATGTAAAGGAAATGTTTCCTTCTTCTCATATCTCGATTGAGGATATTATACTCAATTTCGATTTTTAATGGTAAAGAAAAGTGTAAAAAGATGTCGAGAATTTTACAATATGTCATGTAATATAAAATGCGCGCGGGTCGGTTGATCTCCCAAAAGGAGCGCGAAGGAATTGATATGTTTCACTAATATATTACATAATATACTTATTCAAGACAAGTTAAAGTCTCCTTTCCAAAATAATGACAAAACTATATGACTAAAACATCATAATTATCAGCCAAGAATATGCTACTTAATACCTTCCCATGGTTACCATGGCAAAATGAATTAGAGTTAACAAGATGCCCTGTACGGTACTATATGCCCATGGACTAATAGTGTTTTTACACATGTTAATCTACATGCGCAGAAGATAATAACTCGCTTAAATCATGGAAAATCGATGTGCAGTTCTGGTTTATAATCGGAAATTGTTGTTCCGTGTACTGTATTTCATTTTGAAAAAAAGGTTGATATTACCAGATAGAGGTTATATTTGGATTGGTTGTGATTAAAAATCCGGTTTCCACCAATTTCCTCATAATATTCCAGAGTTACAACGCACAGGGCTTATACAAATCATGGCCTTCTAATTGTTTTATAAGGTCATGGGTGTGTGCGAAAGTGTGCGAATCAGTCATAATACATTTGATATCACCAAAATCGTCTGCTTTTCAACTTCGCTGCTCCCCTTTGGGGATGTGTTGAGGGGCGTACACAGGGGGGGGGGTTAACCCCCCCTTTGTTATTTTTATGTGTGTAAACCCCCTAAAAAAACCTAAACCCCCCTTTTTTTTTTAATTATAAAAAAAAAAAAAAAAAAAAAAAAAAAATATGCCCATGACTGACCTAAAAAAGGTGACCTTACCCCCCCCCCCCCCAACGAAGAAAAATGTAAAATTTTCAAATTTCGAGACCAAAAAAAAAAAAGTGCCCTCTTACCCCCTCCCCCCCCCCCCCCCCCCCCCCCCGGCGCTTATCCAGCGGCTGGCTGAGTCGTTGCGATTTTTCGGGAACCACAAAAAAAAAAAAAAGTGTCCGCTTTCATGGAAGTGTTCCTAAAAAAAATGAAAATAGCTAAAGTTGTGCCCATGAATAAAACAGGGAACCCTGTAGAAACGGGTAATTATAGACCAACTTCTCTACTAACTGTCTTCTGATCTCCAAGATTTTGCAAAAACTTGTATAAATAAGATTGATACAGTTTTTGAAGTCGTGTTTTCTCATAGTCTCAGTTTGGTTTTCGCGAGAAACACACAAGTTCTCATACTGTTTATGTCTTATAGACAAAATATCTTCTGCACTTGATAAACACCTTCATGCGATTGGTATATGTTTGGATTATTCCAAAGCTTTTGATACGGTAAACCATACTATTTTGTTGCACATGCTCTAGTATACACTTGCATAATTATACTGGACCAAAGTATTGGAACTTTTTAGACTGTTTTATTAGGCAGTCTGTAAGCTCTTCTGTTTTTAAACGAAAGCTGAAATTTCATCTACTGTACACCTACGGGGAATAGATCTGATGTTTATTTACATTCAATATACATGTATAGGTAACTGGATTAGCATTGTTTGTCCCCCTGTATTGTATATGTATCCACCCTCTCTTAGTCCTTACTATTCTGTTATCATTATTCTGCTTCTTTTTTTTAATCTACCATAATCTATAAATTAGTGATAGATCTGATATTTTATTTATATTCAGTATAGGTAACTAGATTAGTATTGTTAGTCTTGTACGTTTATTCACATGCCCCATTTCTATTTCTATTCCTATTCTATTTTAAAATTCATTAAGTCAAGGAAGTCAAGCTGGCAAGTGCAGTGAAGGGATTTGGAATGACTATTTCAACAGAAGACATGATATCTTTAAAGGAGGATAATTGGCTTAATGATCAGGTATGTGAACCATCTCGAAATATTGTTTTAATCCCCTTTAAAAAAAAACTGAATATCAATAAGATGAATGCATAAATTTACATGGGTATAACCAGGGACGTACGCAGGGGGAGGGGGGAAGGGGTGGGGTTACCCACTTGCATTAAAAACCCCCCTTGATTTTTTTTTTTTATGTGTATGTTTTTTCGAAACCCCCCCCCCCTCTTGATTTTGATTTTTGATTTTTTTTTTTAATTAAAAAGAATTAAAAAAAATAATGCCAATGGCTAACCCAAAAAATGTGTCCTCTTATCCCCCCCCCCTCCGCTTATTCAGCGGCTGGCTGAGTCGTTGCGAAATTTTGGGCCTGATAATTTTTTGTGTGTAAACCCCCCCCCTACATTTCTCTAACCCCCCCCCCCCCTTTTGGATTTTTTTTTTTTTTATATAAAAAAAAAAAAAAAAAAAAAAAAAATATTCCCACGGTTGACCTAAAAAAGCTGACCTTACCCCCCCAACGGAGCAAAATATCAAATTTTCAAAATTTTGAGACCCCCCCCCCAAAAAAAAAAGTGTCCTCTTACCGCCCCCCCCCCCCCCCCCCCCCCCCGCTTATTCAGCGGCTGGCTGAGTCGTTGCGAAATTTTGGGCCCGATTTTAACCCCCCCCTTGAACAAATCCTGCGTACGCCACTGGGTATAACTGAACTGAATGCACTTTTGCACCCAACATACAATTGCAGTTGAAGATAATTACACAATGCATTTTGAATTTATGCATGTTCTTTCTGTGCATGATATTTTAAACCTAATTCACAGTATTGAGATATATATATATATATATATATATTCAATTTTCGTTTCTTTAATGCAGATCATGAACTTTTATTTTGAAATGCTGACAGCAAGGAGCAAAGCAAAGGTGAGGAATAGTTTTTATTAGCATTTGGAAGTCTAGTGTATGTAATAATCTGAAATTTGCATGTTTTTTCTTTTTAATATTTGACTGATTTTGGTACATGCACAACAAAGTTTGATCATTATTTAAAGAAAAGCTTTATGTAATATTGACACTGACTTCAATGTATAAGGAATGTTTATTAACTAAGGGGGGGGGGTGTAAATTTTTTGCCTTATTTTAAAAATATTTGTTGTAATTATTATTATTTTAATTTGTTGGGTAAGGCTTATTATACATTGCATACACCAGCTAGGGCCCTGTTTCATAAAACTTGTTATTTCTAACAAGTGCTACATTTCTATAAAAGATTTGCTCTCAGCCAATTAAATGTCACGATTTCAGTAGCTTATAACAATTATTGAAGCTGGGCCCTGATTCAGCCTTTGAAGATGCGCATGCAGTCAGGCAGGGCTACATCCAATTTTTGTTTAGGGGCCATGCTACATTTGTAGAGTCTATAAGCAAGAGCCCCCCTGTTCAAATTTAAAACTATGAGGGGGGAGGGGTCCTGAGTTTGAAATTGGTTGCCTTGTGTCCCGGGCACCTGTTAGGGCTTATGCTAAACTCTAGAATCGCGGCGCGCTGGAAAACACTCGGGTCACGGCTAGCGCTAGCTGGGCCAATCTGTTTATTTTGATGGTGTCTTCAAATTGGCCCTACACGCTGAAAAAAATCCAACTGGCCTCTGCCCTGGTCGCGATTATTTTTCCGTACCACTAACGCGTCACATCGTCTAATTTTATTCCGCAGAGCGACTTGGTCAGAGACCACTCTCGAAACTATACGAACTGTGAACTGTACTACTCTGTCTGAGTGTGTTGTGTGTGTGTGAGGAAGTGGTGCGCTGTTTAATGTGTACGTGTGTTCTACGTGCTTTTTTTTTGGTGTCACGTGACACTGTCATGTGACTGTGTAAATGTTGATCACTTTGTTGTGGGCTACTCAAAGGTCCGATCTTTAGCGATCTATATATCAAATTGAAGCTCTTCGTGACACTAGTACAATATTGTAGATGAAAACCAATAGCTATGGTTTCATTTAATTTAGGCCTTTTTGGTCTGACAAGAATCGCCTACTATACAGTGCGTCCCAGAAAAAACGAAACCGAGAAGTATCGATGTTTTATCATAACTTAATCTCAACCATAATTAATGAATGATACATATTTAGAAAGCTTAGAGTCTCCTCTTTCTTTCCTCTTCAAATTGCTTTTAATCACATGATGCATATTCCACGCATGAGTGATTAAAAGCAATTTGAAGGAAGGAAACCAACAAGTAATTTGGCGGGCGGTATCTGAATTTCAAAGAAAAATTCATATTTCTAGAAAGTTCATTTTCTGTTCATATGATACCTCAATCAAGAAAAATGAGCCAGGAATAACAAAGTTCTGTTTATTTAAAGTAGCCCTTACATTTTCATAATTTTAACAAACGAATTCGTTTTCACTGGGTGCCTGCCGTAGCAAAAAGCAGATTTGACAAAAGACTTAACTCCGTTTCGTAAATAATCGTATAGTCCATGGCGATCATGAATATTCATGTTTTTGCTTACCTCGGCAAAATGTTTGCTTATCTTCACTGGAAAAATTACGGTGGGGGGTTGGTTAAAACGGACATAATGAACCGATCAGAACTGATTCATGTGTAATTTAGGCAACGGCGAGCTGGCAACCTATTTTGATCAAATTACGGTGGGTGATCTTACAAAAGTCAATGAGACATGAGGGTTCCAATGAAAGAGCTAGTGACAACGTACGTGTAATTCTTTTGTGTACACTTTGTTTCGCCGAATAAAATGATAATATGATAAATACAGTGCCCCCTCACTTTTTCAAATACCCCAAAAGTGCCCCTTTTTACATAGGAAAAGTGCCCCTTTTACTTTGACAAGTGTCCCATCGATTTTTTAAAGTGCCCCTTCCCCTTTCCACCTCTGATAAGTGCCCCTTTTATTTTGACACGTACCCCCTTTTCTTTGACAAGTTCACATTTTCCTTTGCAATAAGACTAGTGTCCATTTTCCATTCTCATAAGTGCCTTTTTTAATCGCTAGTAAGTTCCCCTTTTCAGGTACAAGAAGCGCCCCTTTTTCACTTTTGACAAGCGCCCCCTTGACCTCGATAATTGCCCTATTCACATCTCAGAGGTTCCACTTTTGGTTTGACAAGTTCCCCTTTTCCTTTGTAAAAAGTGCCCCTTCCCCTTTTAATAACCAGCCTACCCCTTTTTAACTCGGATAAGCGCACCTTATATTTTCACATGTGCCCCTTTCCTTTTTAATAAGTGCCCTTTTTCCTTCTGATAAATGCCCGCATTTAAAAAAGAGCCCTTTCCCTTCTCATAAGTCCTCCTTTTAATCTATGAAAATATTTCCTTTTCATTCAATTCTGAGAGATACTTGTTTTACTTTGACAAGTGCCCCTTCCCCTCCTGAAAAGTGCTCTTTTCATCTGATAAAAATGCCCCTTTTATTTGAACACGTCCCCCTTGTCATTCCTAATAAATGCTCTTTTCCTTCTTATAAGTGCCCCGTCCCCTTCTCATAATTACCCCTTTTCATCTTACATTAGTGCCCCGTTTATTTTAACATGTGCCTCTTTTTCTTTTTAATAAGAGCCACTTCCCCCTTTTCATAAAAGCCCCCTTTCACCTTCGATAAATGCCCCTATTAAAATCCAATCGGTGTCCCCTTTCAACAAATGCACATTTCCCTTTAACATTAGTGCATCTTTGGATAATTACCCTTTTAAACATGACATATGCTCCTTTTTCCTTTCTAATAAGGAACCTTTCCTTTTTTTCTCTTCATAAATGCCCCTTTTCACTTCTTATAAATGCCCCTTTTAAAATCTGATGGGGGCCTCTTTTCCTTCGCCAAATGCCCATTTCCAATTCTTATAAAATCCCTTTTCATCCCTGGTGCGTGCCTCTTTTTTTAGGTGTTAGAAGTGCCCCATTTTCAACTCTGAAAATTAGCCTTTGTACTTTGACACGTGCTCCTTTTCTTTTCTAATAAGTGTCTTAACCCTTTCGATAAGTGTTCCCTTTTCCTCTCATCAGTAAATGTGCCCCTAATTTCAAGCGACTAAGAGCAATTACCCCCAAAGCTCGCTGGCTACGCTCGCTCGTAATTATAGCCTAGATGTGATAATTATCTAACTTACCAAAGGTCTTTTAGTCTTCCGTTATGAGAATGTGCTTATAACCCCATCAGGATCGGGCTTTTCCTCTTTAAAAGATGTAATTTTTCGCGTTGCGACCTCTCAAATCTTTAAAAATTTCCTCGCTCGCTTTGCTCTCCCGCAAATGAATTTTTAGACCATCACACCCAACTGCAAAGTATGATGCTTAAGCAATATAATTATTATACGATGTAAAAAGAGAAATAAATATTGAAATCATCCCTGATAATGTAGTCACAATATAGGGGTATATATATATATACCAATGTCTAAAAAAATGTATATTTTCGCTGTGAGAATTTCCCTTTGAAGGTGCCCTTTTTGCCAGAAAGTGCTCTTTTTTGTTGGTGCCCCCCCCCCACTTTGGAAGTCGCTGCTGGTAGTGTTTGTGAGACTGATTGATGATAGTGGTGATGGTGGTGAAAATGATGATATTGTAATGATGGTGGTGGAGATATGATGGTGCTGGCATCGATGGATGGTGATAATAATGTGAACATTATATTACAAAAAAAAAAAATCTGTTTAAACAGGACCACCAAAACATTCATATTTTACAGCTTATTTGTACTGAGCAGTCTAGTGCCAGGAGGTGGTGTGGGAGTAGGTCAGAGCTTTTCCACTCTATTCGAATAATGCACACCCTTTGTGTTCAAAAGGCTTTTTTATATAATCAATTTAATCAGTTAAAATATCATTTTTTTCTTCTCCAGGTTTCCGGCTTAAAAAGAAGGTAATAAACATAAGCATTTAATGTATCAAAAGTCTATATGATATGATAGTATTTATTTAAAAATAAATAAGGTACAATAATTGTACAATGTATCAGTGGCGAATCCAGGGGGCCCATTTTACAAATCCGGCTGCCCCCCCCCCCCATTTTTCAAATTTGCAGGCTGTGCCCCCTTATTTTAAAATCCTTGATCCGCCACTGATGTATATAACAATATTGACAGCATAATTATAGCACAACATGAAATGCAAATTCAAGAAATCATACATTGATTTGATGGAAGCCTTTTCCACTTCTATGACGTAATGATTAACACGTAGGAATACACTATTCACTTCATATTTTTATTTTTTAAATTACAGCTAGTAGACGAAGTTACGAACCTTGTCAATCAGACCAAATAGGCCTAAAGTAAAGGAAACTAAAGCCATTGGTTTTCTTCTACAACATTGTACTAGTGTCACTAAGAGCTTTAATTTGATATAAAGATTACTAAAATCGGGATCTGAGTAGCCCATAACAAAGTGAACAAACCTGCAAAGAGTCTGTAAATAAACATTTGCAACGTCGATCGTCTGCTATCAAGGGGCGACCACATTTACACAGTCACATGACAGTGTCAGGTGACACCAACAAAAATCACATAGAACACACGTACACATTAAACAGTGCACCCCTTCCTCACACACACACACACACACAACACACACAACACACACACAGACAAAGTAGTACAGTTCAGTGAGAGGGTCCGTACGGTTTGCGCATATTTTTTTAATTTTTTTTTACAAAACTGTTTAGCCACTTCAGTCAACTATACTGAGCAAACGACTAGAGACAGAGTCTAGCATTACCATTAGCAGTGCTTCTTGAGAGATGTAGATGCATGTGTACAACCTCGTTATTTGTTTCGAGTTAAATCTATCCCCTCTTCTCTTTCATTATGTATTTCTCTGTTCTCCTTCAATCTATCCTCTTCTCTTTTGTCATGTAGACCTATTTCTTCTTTTTTCTTCAATCTATCCTTTTTCTCCTTCGATATTT